ATACTTCATACTCCGTATTATATACCAATATCGAACAATTTTTTTAAGATAAATGAGGAGATATATTAATTAAACAAACCCAAGTTCATGGCTAATCTAGCCTAGGAGTTCAGAAGCAAATAATTACTACAACCAAACAAAGTATTAGAGATAATTAAAAACAGCAAACAGCTGAAAATTTTCTCCTCATTTAAACTAAGCAAAGAAGCAGCCAAGGAATGGCACTGCATATCAATAGTTACTGTCGAAAAGGTTCTCCTCATAAGCGCTTTTGGCACAAGCTGGAACGCTGTTGTGAATAGCTTCCGGGTCCTTCATTTCCATGGCAATCTCAGCCAAGTAATGAGCCACGAAATTCGCCTCCCTTGGAATGTAGCTGAACTCAACCTCACAATCCATTTTCATCATCTCCTCCAAGTCCTTCAGGATTACAGTCGTCTCTCTAGTCCCTTAGTTCTCCACCTCTTCTATCGTATTCTTGAGAGCTATTGCATCAGTTTCAACAATTATGTTCTTGTACCGGGCTCCAATCGCTGCTGCTAATCCATTGCGCACTGCAATTAGCTCCGCTTCCTCTGAGTTTCTGGCTATGATCTTCCACGATCTTCCAACTATCCAGCCACCATCGTCCCCTCGAATTACACTCCAGCACACCCCTGCCTTATCTTTAGCTTTCCAGGTATTAATTTAATGAACCCTTCCCTTGGTTTTTTCCACTTCATAGCACTAATTCCTACCACCGGTTCTTTGCCCTTTCCCTGAAAAACATTAACATTGGCCACCAAATCGTGCATATACTTGTTAAACATAGAACCGGATAAATAATAGCAAGTTTAAAAACTGATCCATTTCTAGCTTTCCACATGTGCCACAATGCCACTACAAAAATAGTTTTCCAATTCTCATTTCTGCCCAAGTTATAGTTTAGTCACTCCTCCCAACCAAGATTAAAGAAGGTAACTGAGATGGGGTGAGAAGCTAGAAGCAAGAGCATAAGCGCTACCAATTGAGAATTGACCATTGGATTTGCCTTTCCAATAGATAGAATCCTCAACAGCAGCAAAAGAGGGAAGAGGAATGCACTCAATCAGCTTACACAGATTATCAGGAACAATGTGTTTAATCCTTTGCAAATTCCACTGCCCATTCATGATAATTTTGCTAACTCTCCAATGAGCAATCGAGTCAGGAATTTGCTTATCAATCACCAAGTACAAAGGACCATCTCCCACCCAATGATGGTGCCACAAGCAAATGTCATCCCCATTACCCACTCTATAAGAGATCCCCTTCATGAGTAGCTCTTTTCCTTTTAAAATATCCTTCCAAAGAGGGGAAGCATTAGGAGAAGCAATGCTATTAAAGAAAGCGGAATTTTTAAAATATTTCACCCTTAAAATTTTAACCCATGATTTTCTAGCTCATGAATGGTTTTCCACCCCAATTTAGCCATGAAGGCTAAGTTCCAATTTTTCAAGTTTCGGATACCAAGTCCACCCAAACCCGACGAAAGATAATTTTTTTCCCAATTAGTTCTAGGGAGAGAGTGAGATCTATCAACTTTGTTCCACAAAAATCTTCTACAACTTTTTTCAAGGTTCTCAAGTATAGAACTAGGAAGAAGAGTAGTTTGCATAGCATAAAGAGGATAAGAGTTAAAAAAAGCTTTGATGAGAGTGCATCTTCCGGCCATATTCAAGAGTTTAGATTGCCACCCCTTTATTCTATCCTTGGTTTTATTGAGAAGGTCACTTGTAGGCATCGTTCGAAGCGCGCCTACGTTAAGCATGTTGTGAATATGCTTGGCACTCATAGGAAGTGGGAATTGACATATATACAATTAGGGACACGATTAGGGACAAAGCAAAGTAGGGAGCCACCAACAAGTTTTTAAAGAACTTGTAAACCGTTCACGGATCATAAAAGGCAACCACGATTAAGGGACAACAAAAGGCAACAACGATTGACCCGTGAAGGTTACACCCCATTCACAATTCATGAGATTACTAACTCCATATGGTTCGGAACCACGAAAGGAGGATTGGGGATGATGGTACGAAGTGAGTCAAGGAGTCACATTCGTCGGTATTGGCCTCTACTCGATTCTTATAGCGAAAAGTATTCCCTGCGATCTCAATGGCATGCAAACAAAGATTCAATTTGCTCCAAATCTAAAATTAGGCTAAATTGGTTAGGCTAAATTGGTTGAATATTACTGCAGCATATAATTCTTAAATATTGTTATCACTTAATTAAACAACAAGATTAAAAAGAACCTAAACCGGTCGTCCAAATTATCTTATTAGTCGTGATATTCAATTACATATTCCCTTTAAACATGTAATATGGTGATCAACAATAAACAATAGAATAAACATCAACAATGGAAGCAATTTAACAATAATAATGTTAGTCAAATCAAATTACAATAAACCTAATCATGATACTAGCAATATAAAATAAAATAAGTAATTAAATTAATTAATTACTCACATTCCACGCGTTCCTTTAAATTGCTACATCATGAATAAATTGTTAGTAACTTCAATAAAAATAAATCAAATTGAAACAATTAAATTAAATTAAAAGTAGAGTGGATTTGGTCCAAACCCTCAATCGGTTCTTCCTTTCACGCCTTGGTTTAAGTATGGAACTTCGGGTTAAGTATGGACTCCTTAGAGTGCTTAGGGAATGAATGATGAAATTAGGAAAATAGGTTTAAGGCTTAGAATATGAGAGAAAGAGAGAGAATGATTTTTTGGAGTATAAGAGAGGAAGAGAGAATGATTTTTGGTGTAGGGAGAAAGAGAATGATTTTTGGTGCCCCCGAAACTGGAGAAATCAGGTTCGTATTTATAAAGGAAAAGAGTAAGGTGAAGTACGAAACCCTAGAAGTGAAGGTGCCGCGAAGAAAAGCCCAGAAAAAACGCCGTGTCACTGCAAATATGCCGAGCCACGCTGTAAATTGTCGTGACACGGTAGAAAATGCCGTTGCGCGGCATTTCTGACGTGGCGCGGTAAATTCCAGTTTTTACGCGTTTTTAATACTATGATAACTTTTAATCCGTAACTCGGAATAAGACATATAATATATCGTTGGAAATCTTATCAAGTCTACTTTCCAACCACATTGCAATCAGGTCAAAATATATTGTATATTTTAAGATATGGTCGTTTTAGTGAAAGGGTGTCGGTTTTGGGCCGAGTTTAGTGTTTTGCTTATATCTTCTTCGTTTTAAATCGAAATTGGGCTTTGAAATACCGTTGGAAAGCTTATTTTAAGGCCTATCCAACAAAATAATATTTGGATCAAAATTATAGGTCCAACAAATCAGTTTATCTCGGTTTTGTGATGTGGACACGAAAATGGAAAAGTAAGTTATGGTTTGGGGAAATGGGCTAAGAATTAGGTTGATTTGTGAAATGTATTGGATTGAACATGGATTTAAGCACTCCAAAGATTAAAAACTCAACTCGACCAATAATGGCGGTGAAAGGTTGTTCATCATCGGGTTTGGTTTTAGGGAGACATTTTTAGGTGTCTACATCACTATAATCTGATTTTTTTTCAATCTATTCGGACTAATATTGACCCCTAAATATTTTCCAAAAGAAGGAGCACCTAAGATGTTAGAAGCATTAAGAATTGACATCTTAAGAGAAAGACAAATTTTTGGTGGGAAGATGACTTTTGATTTTGAGGGGCTAATGAATTATCTCGACCTATTCTCAAACTCCAAAAGAGTATCCTTAATAACCTTAAGATTATCAAGAGAGGCAATAGCAAAAAGAAACACATCATCGGCATAAAAGAGGTGAGAAATACAAACATCTTCACCAATTTTAATCGGTTTCCACTCACCCAAACTTACTCTCTTTTCAATCATCAATGAAAGTCTCTCGAGGCAAAGAACAAAAATATAAGAAGAAAGAGGATCCCCTTGCCTTATAATCCTTGAAGGTTTAAAACTTTCCATCTTCTCCCCATTCCACAAAATAGAGACGGAAGGAGTAGTAATGTAGTTTAAGCTAAGTTTCACCATATTGTCCGGAAAATTCATACCTATGAGAGTTTCCCTAATAAATCCCCACTCAAGACTATCGTAAGCTTTGGTAAGGTCAATTTTGAAAGCCATGAGTTTTTTCTTGCTTTTACTTTTGAATAATTGAGCAACCTCCTTAAAGACAAGAATATTTTCCTCTATCGAACGACCTTAAATGAAGCTTGATTGGACTAGATTGATAAGATCGTTCAGGAGGGATTTAATTCTATTGGCTATGACCTTTGTAATTAATTTGTAAATTGAATTACAAAGGCCTATGGGTCTAAATTCATTCATGGAATAAGGCTTATCAACTTTTGGGATAAGGGCAATGAAAGATTCATTAATTTCCTGATGGAGTACCCCTTTATTGAAACAATCCAAAATTAGAGAAAAATTAGCATTTCCCACCACTTCCCAGTGTCTTTGGAAAAAAAAATAGGTTGATGTTGTAGACACCTGATTGTGTCTCCCCAAAAAACCAAACTCAGTGATGAGTACCTTTCACGTCTTTGATTATCGAGTTAGGTGAAGAGTTGAAGAGTCTCGTGAATATTTCTAACCTTTCCTAAATGTTTTTAATCCAAAATCATTCATTTCGTGCCCAACTTATAAAAACGTCCAAACCAGATTATTTTGATCCATGATCCTGGTCCAATTATTTTTTAGTTGGATGGGGCTTGAAAGAGCTTTCCAACGATATATTATAAGCCCAAATTCGACTTAAAACGAATAAGTTATGGCCAATTGAGCCCAAACCGAATTTAGGTCCACCTTACCTACGACCCAATGATCATGTGGAGGGTCCACTTCCCCATTAATGTGAGCTCCCAAGGCTTTCTAAGCTCTTGCAATTTCTCTTTGGGAAATTTAACCACCAAAGCGCTTTCTGCACTATAATCCTCATCCTCCTCCCAATCTTGGGAGTTGATAACGATTTTCCTAGCCTCCGAAAACCACTGGGATGATCTTACCATCGCTTCCCTATGAGCCATTAGCTATGAGCTGCCATCTATTTCCTGAATGATACTTTCATTTTTAGACGTGAAGCCCTCCTTTTGAAGTTCTATCTCCATCTCCTCACCTTGTTATATGTCCTCATGACACACATTTGCATCCATTGGATTCCCAACTAGTGCTTGATCCTCAACCATGACATCTAGGCTCACTACAGATTTTTCCATAGCCTCCTTCTCCTGTGAAGAATCCGCCTCCATAGCAAGATTCAAGAGACTAAAAAGAAGGAAACTAACTAAATTAACAAAACAATTTCTGAAAGACTTATAACAATGGCTAGAATGAAAGTACTAGACATAAGAGACAACTCACTCTCCACTAGGAGAAAAGCTCCGGAGGCTCTAATCACCAGGATGACTTAAACTTCTAGAGAGATAAAGTTAGGGATATTAAAATTTTCCCAAGTATCGAAGACAAACACCAATCAAAGTCATATACTCCGTATGTAAATAATGCAATACGGAATAGTTAAATTGAAGCAACTTACCGAGTCTCCAAGGGTCCGAGGAAGTAAACACCACACACAAACATTTGGAGGGAAGAACATTTTACATTCCCGCCATCAGAAAAACCCCAATTCTCAAGGTTACTTGCTCCATTCAACACTTTCTCCAAAATTTCCATCTCTCTCTCCTCTTTTTTCTTCAAGCTTTTGAGTTTTAGCTGAATGCAACGTCAATGGCGAAATCCGAATACGATTCAAAGTCAGATGGCCTCGAAATCCTCTCCGTTGGAGCTCTATACACCGGACCTTGGGATAAGAAGTACTGGAGCTCCTCTAGGGTTTGTTCTTCTCTCTTTCTCTATTCTTCGTCAATAATTTAGCGATGTTCTTAAATTTTGAAAAAATTCAGATATTTTACTTCAATTGATTGCAATTTTGTGTATATCAAAATGAAATTCGCTACTTGCGGAGTAAATCTGGAAATTTTCAGCTTATTTTATTCAAATTTGGATATTGGCGAGCATATAATCGGCATTTCGATTAGTTTGTTTGGTTTGATTAAGTTGTGGTATCATTTTTGCGTCTCTAGCATATTATTAGGTATTGCGATTGAGTTGTTCTATAAGCCTTGATTAAATTATGAATCATGTGGAAAAAAACAAGCCTGATTTGGTAGCTTAATTGTGCTATTTTGGCAGTTTGCCGACAAGCCTGTTCTTGCTGGAACATAGGTGCAAACTTGCAAAGTGTTAAAAGTAGCAGAGGTGATTGACATATTCGGTGCATTATTAATAGGTTGAAATTGATAGAACTAATTTTTCAAACTTTATAAAGGTACCGCTGGTAATGAACGTGAGATGGATCAGTAGTTTATATCATAGCTTGGGATAAAATTCAATTTGAAACATTTGAGTAGGTGCTGTAGTTAGCAACTTACGCTGCGTTTGGATTGGCACCACGAAAAGACCGTTGATTGTTTTTTCATCGGTTGTGTCTTGTGTTTTTAGTTGATCATAGGATTTGTTAAGTGCGTTGGATAGTGTTGAACTTTATAGATATGGTGTGACGTGTTAGGGACCTAGGGCTTATTTGAATGTCATTACACTTTACTATACTTGTAATTTGAACCCTATAAAGGTGGAAGCCTCATGGATTGGATTGGTGTGATTGAATTGTTGATGTCATTTTGTGCAACTCTATTTTTCTGTATTGGCGAAGTGCATGTGTACTTTTTGTGTGGTTGTCAACACTAGTAAGTGGTAGGCTGTAAAGATGTAATAAATGTACCTTAAAAGTTAAACCATTGGCATTGTTCGTTGAGTGATCAATGCATTTAGAGAATGGCTCTCCATTGGTTTTTGGGTAGTTAATTAATATTTTTGCAGTCAATTACATTACATTTGTGAATGAATTTCATACTTTTTGTCAGCCTTATTCACAAAATAGATTCTCTATTTGTAGGGAAAAGACCGATATCCTTATCCAGTTGGCTACCAAGCCCTTCGAACCCACAATGGGCTCACTTATAAGATGGAAATCCATGAGGGTTCAAAAGGGCCCATATTTCAAGTAAGTTACTGCACTTTCTGATTCATATCTGAATATAGTGAAATTGGGGATTATAGTTCCTTTATAAGTTTTCCTTTCATTGGCAGATTACCTCCAATGACAAACAATTTGGTTCTGGAGAAACACCAGACAGAGCATGGGGGAACTTTCAGAAGAAATGCTTGACTCGTATCAAGCTTTGGCATGGGAAGAGATCTTCTGGCAAAATTGACGGCGTGGAGGTAACTCTTTTTTTGCTCTTCAAATGTCAAATGTAGGTATTGTTCTTTCCCTAGCAGCTTATGCACATATTAAAGGATTCGTATTTTAAACCTGTATTGTGTCCTAAGCTTGAAATTGGTCAAAATAGATCATACATCTAAGACTACATTTATTCCTTGTAAATAATTGAGGTTGGATAAAGACACTCACATTCCAGTGGGACTTGCCTTTGCTTATTGCATGTTAAGAGGAGCATAGAATAGCTAACTAAGACCATCGTCCATCTTATTAGTTAAATCATAGGTTGCAGGTATTCATATACCTTAGTTGGAATATTGTGACCCAAACCTAGATTGAATCATAAAGTCTATGTGTATCGTGTTGTGTACTTGCATTATTTGGGATTTCTTTAGGTACTATGTGAAATATTAGAGTGATATTAAGGTTGAACTACATTATGCTCTATGCGGGCCTTGGGGTCGCATTGTAAGTGACTTTAAAGTGACTCATAACAGGGAAGCAAAGAGCAAATGTGCCTAGGATAAGACACGATAGTACAATGCTGGAACCTTTTTTTGTGAGATCCCCTAGATAGATGAATTTTTGCTTTGGTGAATGGGCTTGGTTAAAGCCATATTAGGTTTAGCCTCATTGGGTGTTAGTTGGGCTCTCAACCTATCTCATCTTGAAGGAGTGGATTGTGAATGTGGTGATATCATAACTAAGAATTTGTAGAACTTGGATGATTTGATTCAAAAAGAGAATGGGCTGTGATATGATAGTTGAAAATGAAATGGGTAAAGGTGACATAGGATAAGTAGGCAAAAGTTCTCCTAAATTGTTCTTTGTTGTAATTTCTTTTGAAAGTTTGTGGTTGAACATTTGCCAATAATTGGAGTAAGGTCATCTTGTGCATTTGAAATTTATCTGTAGAACCAGGTGGGTTAGGCTTTATCCTTACGAGTGTGAGATCAAGAACATCTCTTAGTTGTGATTTTGTTGATTTTTGGCACAATTATGTCTGTCAGAGCTGAGAGGAATGGTTGGGAACTTGCAATGCTTCAGCTGGGCAGTTGCAAAATGTTCTTTGGTCATGCATAAAGTCTATACAAGGAGAAAAATAAGCAACTTAGAGAGGAGTCTTGGAGAAGGGACTCAGTTTAATTTTCCTAAGTTTATTAATATGTGCCTCTAACATACTGCCTTAAGTATCAGAATATCTGCTAAAAGATGGGCCAACACTTTCTTGGAATTTTGGCTATTTGCCCTTAAGTTTTTTACTTGATAGAATGGGTTTTAATATTCTTTAAGAATTACTCTAAATCAGACAGGCCATATCAAAGAATGTGATTAGGAGGTTCTTCTGTGTCGTTTCTAGCGGCTTTTCCGTAGATGCATATAAGTCCAAATCATTTTTTTTTTTGAGTCGTTTGACATGCAAGATTTTCTAGGTGCCTAGGGAGTCATCTGCAAAATTATCTCGAACTTTTCCATCTGAGGTTCGGTGATTATACATCTTGCTCATTAAAGCAGCCTTGGAAAGATGCATATCCTAGTTTAGTGAATATCATTGCCGAGCTTAGAATTTGAAAGTTTTTCAACATGAATTACATTGAATGAACACGTTAAAAGCAGAAAGGAAAGACATTTTTTAAAAAACAATCATATAATATTTCATATTCTAAAATTTTATTATACTTTTTATAATTCTTAGCCTTCTAATATTATGTCAGGAACTATGACCATGAAAAATCCTGTGAATATTTCCCTTTTGCAATGATTTAGTGCATTGTTTAGCATGCCACTTCTGCATGCTCTGACAATTTTGTCTCACTGTCTATGTACATTATACAGTTTTTTGGATTTAAAAATGCATTGGTCCAGAGATTACTCCGGGAGCTCGTAGCCACTGTAAATGATGCCTCTGATCGGAGTTCAGTTTTTACCAACTGTAATGAAGCTTCTCCAAAAGGTCATGACGCTGAGTGCTTCATGACACACAAATACCCTGATTTGAGGTCTTGTCTTGAGAAAACTACTGTAACTGGTAAGAGAAGCAGAACCTCTAGAGGAACAGTTACAAAGTTAGCTTGTAAAAGTGGTCATGAAAGATGGCAACCTCCACATCTAGGTAATGATACCAAGGCTCTATATTCTGCATCTGGGAAGATGGACATTGATGAACCCCTGATTTCCTGTACTCCGAGTGATCACCATGATAAAGGGGCTTTGCAAGTAACATCAAACATGGAGCTTGGAGATAATGTTTTGTTATCAGCTCATGGTCTACCTGTAAAGTCTCATGAAGTTCCTAATGATCCAAAAACTGAATCTTGTTTAATCCAAGTGCAGAGTGAGCCTCCTATCATGGAAACATGCGTAGCAGCATCCTCACTTGTTGTAGACATGCCACAAGAAGAGAAACCTGTAAGTAGACTGTACTAGTGTACTCTTTTAACCCCTGCACTGAAATTAAGAAATTTTTTTTTCAAAAAATTAATCTCTTTTTATTTGCTTTGTTTTACTATCTCTTCCTATAGACCTAAAAGTAACCTAACTTAATACAATGGTAACACTAGGGTCCACATACTCGGAATTCTTCAGCAAACTTTCATGACATATATCTAGCTCTTATTGCTTACTTAACAAGGAGAAGATCCTTAATGTTTCACAGCTTGACAGACAATGTATTGAAGTCCAAGTAGTTGGTTTACCTGTGGCAACTGAAGAAGGAAGTCAGATGGTTCAAGTTATACCTGACCTGTTAAAGCCAAGGTCTCCACTTCTGAGGGATTCCCAGGTCAGTCATGCTGGTGATCTATTTGCGCCTGATTCCTCAGATACTCAACAAGGTACTGATAGTTTGTTAAGCTTGTTCACTGACTTAGTCTAAGATACAAAAACATCCCATTTCTCAAAAACCAAGCTTAATCCACCTGGGTGGGACAGTTAATATGTGTTACAATGCCAATGTGCACATTCTAAAGTTATGATTAGGTATTGAGTCCTATTGACTATGATCACAAAGACCCTACTCCAATTGGTTGGCACAAGGACCTTGGGGTGAAAAGAGCGTCGAAACATCAAACTAACTCTGCTTTTTTTTTTTTTTTTTTTTTTTTTTATATATAATTAAATTTTAGATAGTTCACTTGGTGACACAGTTGGCTTTCATGCAGAAATTGCCTGTGCTCTGAATTCTGGCAGTTATAGTGGAGAGCAGGCCATAGCAAGAATTGAACCAGTTGGTGAGATGGCGTTGTCCGAGGAGGCCATAATGGGATCACATTCAGAGGAGAGAAGCTATTACTTGAATGGAAATTCTGAAAAAAGTGATTTTGATTCTGTTGATGAAGATATAGCCAAGTCAATGATGGCACTTTTAGTTCCGCTAGCAGTTCCACTTCTTACATATTCATCACGAAAAAGGAGAAAAACTAAGCGCCTTAAAAATTCACTATCTGCTGATGTCAAATCTTCTGGTATAATTCAGTATGTAAATTGCTTGTTCTTATATCTGATTTGGACATCTGTTGGATGAATTTGAAATGTCGGCTGGACCTGATGTGTGTGTGTGTGTGTGTGTGTGTGTTTTTTTTTAATTTTTAATATTTTTTTATTTTCGGGCAAGTGATGATGACCTGGTTGATTTTGCAGCTGGAACACTTGCTTATTCTGGTTCAAATGGACAAACAAAAGTGTATCTTTCGAGTGCAATTGATTCGGGTTCATCAACGATGGGAAACCTCAGATATGTTGTTCCAGACAGTGTAGAAAATGACCAGTATGAAGATCATGTAGCCAATGAGCTACCAACTGCCTATAATGCTCAAGCAGTTGCTGCCCATTTGCAGAAGGAGAAGCAAGAACCTGATAAAAGAGGGTCATCTCCTGTACTTGATGTAACTGATTTTTCCGCTCATCAAAATGAGATCACTGAAATCAAAGAAAATCTCAGATATATTGTTCCAGATAGTGTAGAAGATGATCAGTATGAAGATCGTTTAGCCAATGACCCACCACCTTCTGATAATGCTGAAGCAATAGCTGCACATTTGCAGAAGGAGAAGCAAGAGCCTGATAAAAGAGGGTCATCTCCTGTACTTGATGCAACCAAATTTTCCTCTCGTCATAACGGGATCACTGGAATTAAAGAAAACCTCAGATATGTTGTTCCGGACAGTGTAGAAAATGACCTGTATGAAGGCCATGAAGCCAATGAGCTACCACCTTCCAATAATACTGAAGTAGTTTCTGCCCATTTGCAGAAGAAGAAGCAAGAACCTGATAAAAGAGGGTCATCTCTTGTACTTGATGCAAACAAGTTGTCCTCCCATCAAAACGAGAACTCTAAATTCAAAGAAGTTTTCTCTCATGATGAATTGCAGAAAATAAATGACGGGATATCTCAGAATGATTGTGCTCTTGCTCTTCATTCTGCTGTGCCCTGCCCATTGTCTGTTCCCCTGGATTGTGTTGCTACATGTTCCATACCTGACGATCAGTACAAAAATGCAGATAGGAATTCTAAATCCATTGAGAATTGCTCCAAGTACACAGATCTGGAGATTATGCCTGATTGCAAAGGTAAATGACTTTTCCAACTAGCCCTTTCCTCTCTTTTTGAAAAGGCAAATGCTTCATGTCTTTTTGTAAAGGCAAACCTCCTTCCTGTCTTTTTGAAAAGGCAAGCCACTATACTTTTTATAATTCCAAAATATTCAGTGTTCTATGGCGAATTTTTTTTATTTATAAACAGCTACTGAAATGATATACTTCGTAGTTAATTATATTTGGTGCAATAAAGGAAGTCAAAGTCAAACTCCACTCTTGCAAATTGAAAACTCTTTAATTTACGTACAATTATGTTAAAAAAATAAAATCTATACTGGAGTTGCTACAATCATAGATAACATTAAACTTGTTTTTCAGGGCCTGGGTTTATTTCTGTACCTGAAAAGCAACAATGTTCCCCTGCAAATATACACCCAAAAATGGACAATCATGGAGCTACTCTGTCAGAGACCATAATTTGCAGGGACATTTGGGACAAATGGGTTCCTGAAATAAATCAAAAATCTGGAAACTTGGTATCTACCAATTCTTGCCAAGATAGTGCATTTGGTGATAGTGACAGCAGCAAAGCTTTGTTCAGTAGAAGCAGGATTGGAGGACATTTTTCTAATTTGCAGAATGGTGATATGGAAGATGCTTTGGCTCAAGATTGTGTCTTGCAAGACCAAGCATTGAGTTTTACCTTCAGTAAGAATGATGTACAATTTACTGATGGGGGCAATTTCTATGTGAGAAAATTTGAGGCATACATTGACAAGGATAAGATTGGAAATCAACATTCTGACTCTGTATACCAGTTATCAGACCAGGATAAAGTTTCTTCTCAAAAATGTGCATCCCATATCAAGGAAGATGAAGCTGAAAGCCATCCCAGTTGTCTGAAAAAACAGGAGTTCGATGATAGGATAGAAGGCAGTACGAAGCTTATTGGTCGTTACTCTCATCCAATGCGTATTTCATCGGTAATGTTGACAAGAACACCCCATGAAATCTACATTTGTGTTTCATGTGGTCTACTGGAAGAAAAGAGAAGGGACTTGTTTCTGTACAAGCTATCTACTTCAGAACCTAGTCCAGGGAGCCCTTGTATGGTTGGTCATACGTCTATGAGCTTACCTTCCCTAAAAGATGAATTTGGTAGAGAAGTAAGTAAAAAAGCATGCATCAGCCCTTTTATTTTTTCTACTTGTATCAGCTAGCAGGCTGAGTTGCCGTTTTCTTCTATTATCTTTATTAGGTTGCAGTTGATAAATTTGGATTACAGTTCACACCAGATGCCAGTGGCCTAGTTTTAGCAGACTCCATCAGGGTGCCTTACTGCAGGTTTTAACCCATACATATATTTTATTTTATTTTTACTGCAAAACTGTGATGAAATACTAAAGTAATCCAAATTGCATTTGTTCAGGGAGAAAAATCTTCACTGTTTGTGTCCGCAATGTGAAACTTGCTGCTTCGAGGAGAATGCTGTAAAGATTGTACAAATCAAAATTGGCTACGTCTCCCTTGTGGTGAAGCTGAAAACAGTTTTCTCTGTTCATTGCTTAATAGTTTGTGAACCTGATCGTCTGATCGCTGTGGATGAGAGTGGAAGAATCTACATATGGATTATGAATTCAACCTGGAGGTGATTTCTTGTCATCTCCCTTATCCTGCTTGAATTTCATTAAATCTAGGATTCATACTTTCTGATTCTCTTAGAGAAAGAAATACTTCACTCAAGTCGAACTCACTGATATGAAGAGATTTATATGCATTTGTTGTTAGGCTCGAACCTGATCTTAGTTTGAGATTGATCCTAGCTTGATTACTCATATATCTATTTATCTGCAATCAAACTCTTTTTCCCCTACTTAAATGATAGTAAGTATACTTCTAGATTAAAAAATACTTTCAGATCTAGCCTATATTTCTATTCCCTCTGTCCAATTTAATGCTGTGTTTTGACACAGAGATTAAGGGGAAAAGGGGGGCGGACCATTTGCTTATTAGAGGTGTCTAATTTAATCCAAAAAATTGAAAATGAATAGAGAGAGGCAAAAGTAATAAGAGAAAGTGTTGAAAATATGAGAGAAAAAGGGTTTATGTGATGCAGAGAGAAAAGGTTGTAAGCGAAAGTGGGGTACACATGCACATCAGATGGTATCTTTTTGAATCATATCCAGTAGTAGGATGATCATTTTAGAACAGACCAAAATAGATGTCAAATAGTGCATTTGCTATCAAACAGCAAATTGCTTCTTAGCTTGAACTCTGGATTATGAATGCAACTTGGTTTTGCAATTAGTAGCAAAATTAAGCTTGTTACCTAAAAACTAGCTTGAAACAGGATTTTGGCTTTTGATCAGTGAGCTACTGTAAATCAGCTCTGCATAACAAGCTTGAAACAGGAAATTCGAAAGAATAATGTATTCGCGACAGGAATAGGGTAGAATTAAGTCAATCAGCTCTGCATAACAAGCTTGAAAAAGGAAATTCTAAAGAATAATGTATTTCGCGACAGGAATAGGGTAGAATTAAGTCTGTCAAAATAGTTTGTTTGTGATATAGCTGAATCTAATATACTTTTGTTGGAGAAATTTATTGCTCTTTTTGATATAATGAAATGATAGTGAGCAACGATCCAGTTGACAAGATTCATATCAAACTGACTCCTAGGAAGAGGGACTGGTGATGATATTTGATCCAAGGCAACTAGAAATTCCCCCATGTTCATCCTGTATTTACCAACTTACGGAGTAAAAAATTAGCTCGTATCCCAGAGAAGCAAAACCTTTCACCTTCCCTGACCTATCAGATTTTATGGTGAGGTCATTTCACTTGGTTTTGAAGCCAACTTTCTTCAATATGTGTGGACCTCATTAGGACCAAAAGTGCAGCTTCTGTAATACCCATGTCTCCTAGTATATGAGCAGGTGCTGGTGGCAGCTGAGATGCTAGTGCTGTCAATTTGGTGGGTTCACAGTCTGTTAGGGATGTGTTGTCCCACATTGAGGAAGTCACATTGGTTGAGTAGGGTTGCAGCCCCTCAGGATTGTAATGATACTTTTTAGTAGTTCTTCTGAAGCTCATTTACCTTGAAAGATTAAGTAAATAACTCACAGCCAGTTAGGAGTCTCAATTTAGGTGTCAGCAGGATCAATTTAAAAATAAGAAACGGGCTTTGAACTGAATTATTTTTCTTTAGCTTTTGGTGGAATGCAAATATTAGCTGTTTGACTGCTTTTTAATTCAATTTTAGCATCCAGTTTTACTATGCCAAGGATGTTTGTAATTTGAACAGATATGAATCTACACATTGTATTTTTATTCAATTATTGCTGCCTCATTTATTGTAATTTCACAAATTTAGTTTTAGTTAGTAATTCCAATCATCTTTAATCACTTGCAGTGAACAGACAGAGGTACATGTTATACCAAGCTATGACTTTCTCCCATCTCGCATTGTAGAGTTGAAGAGAATTCCTAAATCAGCTTCCATGGTGGTTGGGCATAATGGTTACGGAGAATTTAGTCTGTGGTACGCAGTTTTTTCTACTGAACTAAAAATTTTATTGCTTGATGTGTCATGAGCTTTTTTTTAGCCACAAGTTGAAAACATTATTAAGCGCAGAAAAATAATTACTCATTATGTTTTTGTTTTGAATTTCGCAAGGGACGTAATCAAGCGCACTCTTGTATCACAATTTTCTGCTTCTGCAAGTTCAGTTATCGATTTTCTACCAGTAAGTTTGTTTAAATACCCAAGCAAGGGCCTGTCTCATGACAAAGTTGTGATAGAGGATTGTGTCAGGAAACTTGAGGAAGCAACTATGTTGTGGTTCTCAAGGCATGATGTAGCAAATATCTCATGCCCAATGGAAGGTGAAGATACTGCTATCTGGCTTCTTATACGCACTTCATCAGACACTCGTGTTCAAACTTCTTGTTACTCAAGTAATCACTGTTTGAACTTGGATGGATGTTGGAGGCTTGGTTTGTTGATGAAAAATTTGGTGACTTTGGGAGCTGCTCTTAATTCAAGGTGCTCACTTGGATTTAATAGTCTTGGTAGCTTTATTATGCTTCATCTTACTTTTTGCTTAGATGTTGCACTCTACCAAATCTCAACCGAATCAATTCTCAGACTGAGTCTTGGACCATTTGCATTCACCTTAAAAGTTTCATAGGCAAAATTACAAAATTTCATAAAGTACTAGGCAAGTAGGATGTATATCTGATAAAGGGCCTATATGAAATAGCCTCTTTGCAGTCTTGGGGGAGTAAGGCTGCATATGCATCTGCTCCCTCTCCCCTTTCTATACCAGTCTTATTATTGTTATTCAATTACCTAAGCTGAATTATGTTGCTAGAACTTGATTTAAATGGCCCTCCAATATTAATTTCTGATTTAAGAGGTATTATCCTTTCCAGCCCCAATATATCTTTTCATTTATCTGCTAAGCGAGTAAGCGGTGTAAAAACAAAAGTACATGTATGTAATACAAAAATACTTGTAAAAAGAAAATAGAAAAACATTTGTATTGAACGCAAACCTTAAGAGTCCTTTTTATCTCACTTACTGCGACAACTAAGTTCCATTTCAAAACTAAGTTCGTTATTGTGTTCCAGCATTACTGCAATTGGTACATCATCAGGCACTGGGGTCATTGGTACACAAGGAGGACAAGTGTATACGTGGGAGTTGGCCACAGGAAGAAAACTTGAAGCTTTACATGATCTTGAAGGTATGCTCCTTTAAGAAAGTTGTATCTTTCATTAGTGACACATCTGAATTGTAGTGCAATGTTGATGTGCTTTGCATCTAGTTTAGTTCAAATTTAAGCTTATCACAAAGTAGTTGTCGTGTATTGTCAGATATTTTACCTGTCCTGGTGAATAATCTAGCACTGTTTTTTTCCAAGTCTATTTCCAGTCTTTTTATGGTTGGCGGATCAGGGAAGCCCCTTGGAAACCTTGAAGAGGGAAACTTAATAGTAAAACATTTGTAACCTTATAGGCTTCCATGTATAAGGGGACTTTCAGTGCACCACTGCACTGTAACTATTTCAAGTATAATCTAAAAACTATGTACTTAAGAACTAATGAATCGCAATGGTGAAGTGAAAATTTTTCAGTTTACCAACTCACACTCCAATGTCCACTAAGCACAAATTAAGATCTGCCACCTGTGAGATGCCGCTTGACACTGGGATTGTCATCGTGATACTGACACTGCTTGGATTTACTATGCCTTGATTTTAGCATCTATGTAAACAAGAGTTGTGAATTGATTGTTGAAATTAGACATCACCTCTTTGAGTAATTGATTGTTTTAAAGGGAATTTTGTTGCTGTTTTGTTAACCTTATATTTTTTTTACCTGGATAATTTATCTTATTACTCACCTGTATTCATTGTCAGGCAAGGAAGTCTTGCATATTGCTAATGATGGGTCAACCTCATCTGCTATGGCTGTAGCTGGAGATGGTGGTCAGTTGTGCGTTTATCTCCGCTCTTGAAATCTTGTGAACAGTCATACATATATTTTTTTGTCTGCTACAGCAGTTTCCTATAAAAATGTATTGGACATGTAATGTGATAATGATACACCTGGTTCTGCTGGTGCATAATACCCTCATGATGGCTAGCCGTGGTTGCTCGTGCTGTTCAGTTGACAAACCAGAAACTGCACTGAGTTCAATCACTGTTGAGTTCTGCGCAGCTTAAGGAAGAAAGGGACAGAGACTGCATATAAGTAGCTAGCTAAAATTGGTTGTTTCCTGAAGCAAAAGACAGGAACTAACCTACCAAACTATTTTTTGATCCTAGGAACAGGATACCAAGTTTCCTGTGCATTAGATGTAGATCAACATATCATAATGTAAATTCGATTCTTTTGGAAATTATTTCCTTGTAAATGTAATAAACACATAACTAATATGACCCCCTTATGGTTAGACCTGGAAAACGTATTGTGTCGTGTTCGTTTTTGTGTTGGAAATTAAACGGGTTGGGGATGGTCGACATTAACCCGACCCATTTAATAAACGTATGGTGTCGTATTGACCCAATTAATTAATCGTGTCGAGAATCCTTAACACTAACCTGCTTTTTTCGTGTTCGGTTCGTGTCGTGTTGAATTGAAAAATATTGGTTTTATTCAATATATTTATCAATAATTCCATAAGTTATTGGGTTTTTATATTAGGCGGGTTGGGTCATGTTAATTTCGTGTTGAGAATCTCAACACTAACCCAACCTGTTTAATTAAACGTGTCGTGTCGTGTTGATTCGTTTAATTAAACGTGTCGAAAACCCTTGACACTAACCCGTTTTTTCCGTGTTCGGATCGTGTTGGGTTGTCGCGTTGTGTCAGATTTTGCAAGCTCTACTTTTGGTATATGAATGAATATTGAAAGAAGATTGAAAATGTAGCAAAGATATGTGGGATTTTCTTGCAATGAGTAGGGGTGTACAAAAATTGGCCCGGACCTGAAACCGGACCTGAACCGACTTGAACCGGACCGGACCTGTTGATTCAGGTCCGGTCCCGGTTCTTAAAAATCCAGGTTCCCGGTCCCGGTCCGGACCCGGTCCAAACCCGGGGTTTTCAGGTCCGGACCTGAAACCCGGGAAAATCGTAATTAAAAAAAAAAAAAAAAAAAAAAAAAAGAAGAAAACCAAACTCTGAAAAATTGAAACTGAGTTTTCGTGGACTTATTTGTATTTTCGGTGGACTCATTTGTATTTTTGGTGTTTGAGAATCGGGACTTTATAGACTTTATGTAGTTTTGTAATTGATAATTTTGGTTTGTATGTAATTATTAAATTATGCAACAGGTCTAAAAATCACAAAACAGGTCCATATGCAGGTCCATATGCAGGTCCAACAGGTTTTGTATTAAAAAAAACGAAAAAGACACAAAACAGGTCCATTCAGGTCCAAAGCCGGACCGGACCTGATTTTTCAGGTCTGGCCCGGAACCGGACCTGTTAATTCAGGTCCGGTCCCCGGTCCTCATAATTACCCAATGCAGGTCCCCGGTCCAAACAGGTCCGGTCCAGGTCCTGTCCGGTTTTGGACCGGTGTACACCCCTAGCAATGAGTGCGAATTATTTGGTTTGGTCTTTGATTTCAAAAGTTAGATTAATTCAAAATTAAATTTAGTTTCATCTGTGTGATGGAAGAGGTTATTACTTTGCAAGTACTATTACTAGTGAATTCCTTATCAAAGTACAAGACTTAGGTTAACATTTAATTATTTAAACTACCCAAACTGTTCCAAAAGGGACTAGATGTTAATAAAACTTAATTAAGCTGCTGTCATAAAGCTTATTTATTCGACTTGTGCTCCCACAATACCATGCTGTGGATATAACTGCAAGGCCTTGATCACCTTGATTTTCTCTGCGACGTAAAAAGGAGAGAGTTAGAAATACTAAAAAGCGATTTCACCGGACTAGTCCAGTATTTTCTCTCTGTCTGAAAATAGTTGTCACATTGTTACAATGACACGTAATCTCAAGTGAAGTGTATGATATGATTATATGAACACACCTTTAATTAGTAATAGTTGTGTTACAACATTATTTATTTATTCATAACTCTGTATATATGACCATTGCTTTCAGACAGTACTATATAGCTTAAACTGAAGCTAAAGTTAGTTAATGATTGATCCGAACAGTAAAGGTTCTTCAAAATCCATTGGCTCAGCAGATAACTTTAGGGTGAGTTTGTGAGCCTAAATGGCATAAGCTATTTGTTCCGTAATGAAAGGTCATATTACCACGCATGCATGAATGTTAGTGGAACCACATAGCAGCTCTCCATTCAGGGTGTCGACTGCTTCGAATGCTCCTCCTCCCGCACTCCTCTGTTAATGTACTTATATTAGTCACACCGTTGAATGACATAATCTATAATAACATCCATGTAATATTTTGTATCATATCGAGCTTAGTTTATGTTACCTTGTAGAAATCAACAGCAACAAAGTTAGCCCAGCGGTTACCAGCAGCAACATAGCAAGTTTTTAGCATCTCAATCAGTTCTCTGGAGTTGTGTTCACATGCTGTTAGCTTCAAAGGAATTGTTTTAAAATGATTAACTAATACCAAAGATTTGGTGTGATCATTCAATGGTGATGACTCGTTTCGCTTTGGACACCTTCCTGGTTTCATCCCTTTACTTCCAACTGCAAAGGAGTTAAAGGGAGAAAATAAATTAGCTCAATCAATTAATGTTTCCTTTTTTTTTTTTTTTTTTATCAAGCAAAAACAAAAAAAATTACTAGTATATCATATCTCACACTGATTTTCAACCATGTAGTTCCACTGGTAAGCGATTCCCTCGCTTCTTTCCTTATCCCTATCGGAGGTGAACACGACAAGCCTTTGATTCTTAGCTACCATTTGGCTAACCAAGGGCCAATTCTTGCCATTCTTAGGCATGTTTGATACCGGGAACCAATATTTCATTAAGCCGGACTCCTTAAAAATTTTTGTCAACCCCTTTGGAGTCTTCACATAGTCCTCCAAGATTAGTGTTACAATTTCTGATGGATTGGATGCCATGAATACTTCAATTTCCTTCAATGTATCGATAGCACGTTCCTTACTCACGAAAAGAAAATCAACGTTATTTCAATCACATTGGTTTTACATAGTGTCATTCATTCAAAAACTTGAGGCGGCAAATGTTCTTATGTTCCAAGTAAAAAATGAGCTTAGTTCTTACAAATGCGGTATATGAGTGACATTGGCCTTTAAACGAATGGCACAACCATACATCTCCTTTGTAGTCATAGGTATCTAGCATCAAGGCTCGAACACCATTCTGCACACAAGTTGTCAACGACCATCACGAACGATTTTTATGTACGAAAACAGACTTCTTGCTCATGTGATGCTTACTCTATATTACATTTGTTCTAGAAAACTGTAGGTAAAAGATCGAAGGCTCACGTGTAGTTGTTGTGTGACGCTATCTTCTTGATTTCTGAAGGTTACTCTAGGAGCTTTGGTGTTGTGGCGTTCTCCTTCGATGGCAAAGGAATTATGAGTTGTCAAGAATGCATATTTGTTGAAAGGCAGAGAATCATTCTGGAAGCAGCAGAAATAAGAAAAAGATCATATAACAAGGTTAAATTAATATCTTTGCCACTTCAAATAAATACGTTTGTATATGGCTAAAAGTTTGTTTCTTGAAAACCATTCGATTTATGCATAGTTTGAATTATATAGTAGTCGTATGAACTATGAAGTATAAAGTTCATATATAGTAAAGTGTTGATGCATGTTATTGTGTAGAAGCTAGGTAAGTCTTGACTATACAGAGTGGCAGATGATCAAGCCCTAGAGGCACAAACCGCATCATTCGAGTTTATTTGAATTTCATTAACTCAGATGGATAACTAGCTTAACACAATAGCTGGTACAACTAAGGTTAGAAGCCAAGTAAATCGAGACCACATGAGAGGAATTCTTGATCATTTTTCGGAATTTAATCAAATTATCCAATTTATGAGGCTTTGTTGTTGTTGATCCAACTCCTAAGGCTTTTCCATCCAAAAATTCCCTCACATTAAGATACAAAAATCTCAAAGGTTACCAAATAAAATACCAATAAAATGTCACTTGAGTTTAAACCTTTTTTTCAGTCTCAGAGATAAATTTATCATTGCTTGACTATGCGTTAACCACTTGTACATTAACACGGACATGTAACTATGATATGCTCAATGTAGCAAAATTTAGAAGTTTTTAATAGTGATCTTAAGAAAACAGTATAATTCTCAATGCCAGTAATTCCAATCAGAAGATTCAAAACCATCATGCAATTTGTGATGCATAGCAAGGTACACGAGGAAAAAGTAACATACCACAAGTTTGAATTGATTAGTGACAGTTGATCGAATACATTTTGACCCACTAAAACTTGGTCTTGGATACCGACAATTAGAGCAGTACAAACCAGCACCACAATCTGAATTTCTTGCACAATTTTCCATCAACTGCAAAACATAAAATTATAACACACCTACAATTATTAGCAATGCAAACTAAAATTTACACAATTTACTTATGCAACAAGCAACAAACAGTTCCCTTCATTCATCTCTAAATGTTCGTCGCTCTTACATACAGTCTTTTTTTTTTTTTTTTTTTTTTTTTTGTGAGACAATCGCGTTAAGATAGGAACAACAGCTAGAGTCTTAGAGACGAGGGGTATATATATACAAATTATACATGTACAATGTACCTTGCACTGTCTGTTGGAGCAAGAAGCAGAGATAATAACAGCATTGTGTAAGATGGTTGAGAATAATATTAGTGTAACTAAAAGCAGATTATTTGGAATAATCATCTTGTTTGTTAGGAGTTAGGATTTGTTAGAGAGTTTAAGGAAATGTAAGGTTTAAATGAAAATTGGGAAGAAGGTGAACAGATATTTTAGGCCAGGAAGTGAAAGAGTTCCACCAGTTGGTTGGTTCAGATGATTGAAGCTGACAGTTACTACTTACTAGATGCTTTTGTGTTTTGTGGAAAAAACCGTTCCTTTTCTTTTTCTTTTTCTAAGGTGTGTGAGCCACGGCTGATTGGGCCCGTGGGGACCTCGTGTTGGGTCGGGTATTGAAAATTAGATCCTCTACGCATATTCTTTTATGGACGTGTTTAACAGTAACTGTTGAGTAGCTTTTAGGTATTATTTAGGGGTCGTTTGATTGGATCATTTGGAATGGGTTGGAATAGAGTTAGAATCCATTCCATCTAGTTTTTTGTTTGATTGAGGTTTTTGGTAATGGAATCTCATATCCATGGAGTTCTAATTCCCCCCCATATCCATGGAATCCCTCCCATACCCACCCCTCCCCCTAAGATTCACAATCCATTCTATTAATGAAGGATAGAATTCATTCCAACAATAAACCAAACAACTTTGGACTAGTATGGGTTTTAGAATCCATATCTCTCTAGTATGAGATTGCATACCAATCCATTCCAATTTGATGAACCAAACACTCCCTTAGTAGTTTGACTTATTCAAACCATTGAGTGTTTGACAATATAGTGGTGGGAGTAGAGTTTAGTGGTTGAAGTAGTTTTTGTAAAAAGTTAATATTATTAGCTTTTGAAGATTGAAAGTAGTTGGAATTTTTCTTCTATATTTTTAGAATTTTACAGCTAATAGTTAGTCAACAGCTATTTACCAAACACTCATACTTAATTATTTATTTTTATAGCTAACAACTACGCATACAGCTAACAACTACCTCTACAGCTACATTTTGCCGAACACACCCGATTTTCATTTATTTGAACTTATTACACTTGGTTAGAAATCATTTTAATTATAAATTGAATTTGGGTTGTTTTTATTAACCCTTAAGAGAACTTATACAAAATAATCTAAACGTATCTTATCAAACCTATTAATCCTGAAATAAGATGAACATAAGGAAATTACTAAGTAATGCCTCAAGTGATGTATTGTCTTATTGTATGCCCTAAATTAGACAAGTAATGGATAGCTAAGGTGATTAGTTTTTACGAATATGATATTAAAATTCAAGAGAAAAATATGGACTCATAAACAAATCTTGAGAACCTTGTTGGACAAACAAATAAGAGCAAAAATCAAATGGTTATTCCAAGGAAGGTTCTCATATCATAAATTCATATATATATCATATGTTTTCTCTATCATGGTCGAATGAAATAGATTGGTTATTTGGTAATGAAATTACGAAAAGTGTCAAAAGAATAATTATTCCTTATATCCTTCTACATCCATAGACAATCTCTGTTTTGATTTATATGACAGGTTTCATTTTTTATTTTTTTATTTTTTTTTGAAGGGATATGACAGGTTTGATTGTCATTTAATTTCAAAACACATAAACTTAGTTAGATTAAATAACCCTAAAGAAAGTATACAAGAAATTGCTAAGTTGATTGAATTAGCACATATATGGCCAAGTAAGGAACATAAATAGAAAATTCTGATAATTAACAGCAATGGATTAAAGCATTTTTTCTTACTTTTATTTACACTAGGGGGGTTTGACGCACGCGAAGCGCGCCAAACAATTAGCCCCAATTAGGTCAAGATTCAACTGTTCCCAATTAGGTCAAGATTCAACTGTTGGCAACGCATGCTAGTTGATGCATCCGAGTTGCAGGAGCTCTAAAGTAACTCATCAGAGAAGAGAAGAAAGAAGAAAGAAGAAAATCCATAGGTAAAAAGCAAGTCATTGTGATTCATCAAAGAAAGGAAGGGATGAGAAAAAGTCACGTTAGCACGCTTTCACACATGTCATTCTCACATGCTGTTATTGTTCATAAAATGGAAGATCAAACTTACTAAAAGTAATAATCATTAACTTTAATAAGAATTCAAACTCTAGATAACAAAGACTCTTCAATTAGTTCAATACTTTTACGAGTTTAACACTAATTATTTGTGTAATGTACCTACGCATCGTATATACTAATACTAATGTACGTATACTTGTATGACTAGTAGTCTAAAAAGCCAAAGAGAGTAGTTGAATCAAACAAAGCAAGAAATTTCGGATTAAAACTTGGAGGAGAGGAAACAACGACTGGGGAGGTCGGCCTAAGCAAAATCCAAACCTCCAACCTCCCAAGGTTTTAGGAGAGAGAAAATCAGGGAGAAAATCCAAAACCCTCCTCAATTCTCCGACAAAGAAAATGCCAACTTTGACGAAACTCTTCAGTATGGAAGAAGCCGCCGAGCACAACACCAAGGATGATTGCTGGGTAGTTATTGATGGAAAGGTTACCTTTCTTTTCCTTGATTTTTTCATTCATTTTCCAGATTTTCCTATTAAGTTCTATTAATTTGCTTCATTTGAGGGTTTATTATTGTGGAATTTGTTCAACTAGTGGTTTATTTTAGTGGGTTTTGGTTTGATTTTGTAATGTTTGTACTTAATTGGAAGAAATGGCATCTGGGGTTTTGCTTGGTTTCAATCTTGCTCTGAATTTGTAACTATTGTACAACTCCACTGCGTTTTGTTTTGTATTTTAAGTAAATTTGATTAGATTTTGCTTCCTATATCCTTGATTAGTGAGGAAAATTGATGCATTGATGTTTAAAATCTTCATTGTTGTTGGGTTATTGCATATTAATGCATATTAATCCAATTCCCCAATTTGGTCTTGTTTGTGTTCGCTATAGCTGTGTACTCACTCCAATGACCATTTTGCTCTTGTTTGTGCTTTGATAGGTGTAGAAATATGTTAGGGTTAGACATAGCTGTGCATTCCAGTGCCTTGTTTGTTCTGTTTGTGCTCAACATATCTGTGGAAGCCAGTGCCTTATTTGGTCTCATTTGTGCTTGACATTGATGTGGGCTCCGAAATTCCAATTTGGTTTTGGTTTGGTCTTGTTTATGCTTGACATATCTGAGGACGTATCTTAGACATTGATGTGGATTCCAACTTAAAGCCCCAATTTGGTCTTGTTTGTGCTCGAGCTCCTTGTGTTTCGAACTTAATGATTCTGATTTTTGTTATATCATTTGTTCAGTTGGTATTCTTGGTGTCGTGTGAACAATTGAGGTGTTATTATGGCACGGTGGCACCTAGCTAGTTTTGGGCATTTAGGATCATATATAGAGCTGTCAAAAGCTGACTCGACCCGAAAAATTTACCCGAACCCGATTATTAACTGACCCGTTTGAACCCGGAAAAATGATGACCCGAACCCAATATGACCCAACTTGAAACCAACCCCAGACCCTAGTTAACCCGAGTATTTGAGACCCGAACCCGAACATGAACTAACCTGTAGATGACCCGACCTGAATATAACCTATAAATTATTGACCCAAACCGAACCCGACCTGATCCGAGATCGACTCAAACCCGTTTTAACCCGTCAAAACCCGAATTTAACCCGACTTGTTTCTAACCCGACCCGAATTTAACCCGACCCGTTACTAACCCGACCCGAAATAAATATGAACTTATTATATACTTCCTCCGTTTCTTAATAGATGACACGTTTCATTTTGACGCACATATTAAGGAGGATTAAAAGAGAAAGGCAAAAGACAAATATACCCTTACCCACCCTCATCCCACCTAGTCACCTACCCTTCTTGTTCAGTGAAGTGAAGTACCGAACCAGCAACCAAGACAACAATTAAGGCTCACCAGGCCACCACCACCTAGGTCTTTGTCTGTCCATTAGACGCCGCCACCCCCACCCCCACCATTATCTAACCTTAGCTGTCACTACCCAATGCCGTTGTCTCCTTTCAAGCTCATATGACACAACTACCCAAGTAAACACCGTCAGACTTAAATCTGAATCCCAAACAACCACCTTCGTTCGACGGCGAAAACTAACAACAATGGTGAAAGAAAGATTTAATTACATGTAATTACAACCTAGAACAACCCAAATCCTTTGAGATCTTTGAAGTTTCGAAGTAAAATCCAAGACCCATTTTGCTCAATGGAGAGGAAGGGGCTTAGGGGCGTTTCCTTCAAACACTTGGGTTGATGGTGGAATTAGTGAGAACAGACGAACGGTGGCCAGGGTTGACGGTGGAATTGGTGGCGCTAGATTTACAGGTGGTGGAATTGGTTGTTATCATGACAAAGGGGTTGACGGATGGTGGAATTGGTGTTAAAGGGGTTGATGGGTGGTTGAAATGGTGGTGGCGGAAATGTGGAATGACTGCCTAATGGTGGGTGGTGGCCTGGTCCATCTATGAGTGTAGAAGATAATAGTGAACATGTGAAGGGAGGAGAGAGAATATTAGTTGGAAAAGTTGGAGGTTAAAACAGACAATTTACAATACAAACTTTACCCAAAATAGTAACGTGTCAACTAACTAAAAACTAAACGGAGGTAGTATATCTTATCTAAACTTATTTTAACTTATTAACTTGAATATAAACTAATCTGAAATTGTTTCCTAAAATGAGTGGAATCAATGAAAAATAGATCAGAATAGGATCTGAACATATCTTCCAAAAATCTTAACTAAACCTATCTTATCTGAATTAATATGAACTTATTATATCTTATCTTAAATTAACATGATCTCATTAGTTCGAATTTGAACTTATATGAAATTATTTATCTTAAAATAACTGAAAAAATGAAATGAAGAAATTGATAATGATTAAACGTAAACGTCAATACATGAACCGTTAACAAACCAACCCGAAAAATGTACCCGAACCTGATATGACCCCACCTGAAATCAACCCGAGACCCAAATTAACCCAATATTTGAAACCCGAACCCGAACATGACCCGACTTGGAAATGACCCGACCTGATTATAACCCGCAAATTATTGACTTGAACCGAACCCGACTCGAAGCCGAGAATGACCCTAACTCGTTTTAACCTGTTAAAACTAAAATTAAACCCGACCTATTATTCACCCTACCCGAATGTAACCTGACTTGTTATTGACCCGACTTAAACCCGATAAGATGTATGACCCGACGTGACCCGCCTTAAGCATGACTCAACCCGAACCCAACCCGCATAGGTTACGATATTAACCCGAATTGACCCGACCCCAGACTAACCCGGCCAGTTTACCCGAATTGACACCTCTAATCATATACTCTACTCTTGAAACGCTTTGTGATTGAATGTATATTTCTCTGTTTAATTTGATTGGTTCTTTCTGTGCTTCCTTAATCTTCATTGAGTTGGTTTTGGTGTTGGTCATTTAGAGGCAGATCTTTGAACTTCATTACTGTTGAGATCTATGATGCCTCAAGATATTCTCAATGTTTCTATGATTAAAATAGGTTGTACTTTCTCACTTCCCCGCTATATACTCTATATTCAGGCTTCTAATTACAAACCATATATGCCAGTATTCTGAGTTTGAGTGCTTATTGTAACATTGCAACATTCAGATTACCCGTGAATAGATAAGACTTATGTAGCCTTTTTACTCTTGTCAATGAGAGATGAAAATGATGTATTAGCTGGATGTTTGGGAGGAATCGTTAACGAGTTGTGAGCTTATTTATTTGAGGTGCTAGCCGATGCCGTGATGTCAATATTTTAACATATGTGATTTTTGAGAAGCTCTATAGCTATCTCAAATCAATTAGCATCACTTTATTAGGTGTATTTCTGATTCTCTTATGTATTCAGTAGATGTCAAGCATATCATTTATTTTTGTGGCATATATGTGCTTTAAAGTGTGCACTTATGTTTGCAACAAATGGTGAAGCCATATTGCTTTTTCAGGTGGCTGGATGCTTATAATCTTGTACAGATGTCTTTCCTCTCAAGAGATTTGGGGTGAGAGAGAAGTTTGGGGGGGGGGGGAAAGGGGGGAGGGGGGGGGGGGTTGTATTCAGGTTCGCTTCCCAAATTGTCGCTGCTTGTGTTTCTAAAGTTGTCAGATTGCTATTGGCCTATTGTTTTATCAACTTAACTGTGCTGTGCTGTAGTTATTTTCATCTCTCGCGTCCAATACGTATATGTGTCAATCTTAAATCTTAATCCTCCTGCATTTAGCTTTGGAGTTTTGCTTTTGCCAACTATATGTGTCTTTTGTAGTTTGATCTTGCCAACTATGTCTTTTGTAGTTTGGTCTTGCCAAATATATGTGTTTTTTTAGTTTGGTTTCAAAGGGTGGTGTTCAAATCAAAACTATCCATCTCAGTGGTTAAATTTCTTTTAAGGTTGAAATATCCACACTTGAAGCTCTGAATTCATGTGAAGTCGGGTATAATAATGTCCTAAATTGGATAGAAGTAATTACTATTAGTATTACTGATGTCTGTCTTTTGAGTCTTACGGGTTTTGTCATCTGAATCTGCTTGTTCTTCTGCATATTTAACATGGTCTAATGTTCCATACTTTGTGTTACAATTTTTTTGTTATTAGTAGTCAAACTTTGGTGAATGTGCACTTTAAGTAAACCAGGGCACCATTGTGCCACACTGGGCACACAGTTTGTTATCTTATATAATTGCTTCAGTATTCATTTTTATGTGTATTAAGTGATTTACTCCCTGTTTAGGAAATTGTTTGGTTATATTATTCATCTTGCTTAGATTTTGGAACTCAATAATTGATTTCCTTTTCAGGTGTATGATGTTACATCTTACCTCGACGATCATCCCGGTGGAGATGATGTGCTTCTCACCGCAACTGGTATGTCCATTATCTAAGTAGATCCAAGTGTTTGCTGTTATGTATTAATATTTGCCAAATATATGATATCTAATGTTGATGCTGTACAACTTATGAGATAAAATCATTATATCGTAATTGTGGGAAGATTATAAAAATTTTCTATGCAAATTTTCTGAAATATCTTCATGTACATCATTAATAATGAAGGAAAGGACGCAAAAGAAGAATTTGAAGATGCTGGACATAGCCAAGATGCGAGGGATGAGATGGAGAAGTATTTTGTTGGAGAGCTAGACCCATCTGCTGCAACTATTCCAGAACCTAAACAAGAAAAGAAGGATATGGATACCATCCAGAAGATTAAAGACTTGCCTCTGCAGTACTGGGCAGCTCCTATAGCCGTCGTTGGCATCTCAATTGTAGTTGGCTTCCTTTACTTACGAAAGAAGTAGGTAACTGGTAGAAGCAAGCAGGGAGCAAATAGAACAAGCATCATACATCAATTCAACTCAAAATAACTGTTGATTGAATGAGACGGATAGCTTAGCAATTTTGATAGAAAATTTATTCACCTGGATTTTTCATTGATAAACAATAGTATATCCTGATATTCTTGTGGAAGCATGATTTTTGGTCAGAGCTTGATGATTTGATATTACTCGTAATACGAGTAGTAAGTGGAGAATTGATCTTTCAAATTAGTTGTTTATGTGATTTCGAAGGTCTCTTTTAATTTTTAAAAATGGATTTTACTTGATCAATTATTCAATTTATCTAACTTTATTCTAAAACTGATCATCATGCAAAATCAGATTGAGCAAATGAAATACACAAGGAAAAAAGTGTGAAAGATTTAGTGTTTGTTTGGTTGGATGAAGAAACTAGTAGTTCTTGTGAGCTTTCAACACATATGGAGACATGGAGTTCTATTTCCCAGGAAATGACAAGATTTGTATGGTTGGATGTAGTTTTACATCCTGTAGCTAGTTCTACTTACCTAGATCCTTGGAGGGATTGGGTAAGTAAATTCATTTTGTGGGAAGTTGAATTTTTCTAAGAGGTTCCACTTCAGTTCCACTTTTTATGTTAATATCAATAAGCATACATCCATTTCCTAATTTCAATATTTTTATTTGTCAATCGAACATGCACTTTTTTTTTTTTTTGACATATGCTTAATTGACAAAATAAACTATTACAAACTACGGATCAAGTTCGCTAAGCTACTCATTGGAGATGTTACAAAGATTACAAATCCTTATAAAACTTAAACACAACTTCCTCACAAGAAAATGTCGGCTTGAAAATCCAAGTAATTGCCCTTGAACATGCTGCTAGAGATACCACATTTGACCTTTGTTGGTTGTGTAACCCCATTTTTGTTGAGATTGGGAATAGAATAGAAGAGCGGAACACACACGATTTTTGGTATACAAAAACTCGAGCTCAACAAGACACAAACAATCTTGTAAACTAGGTAAGAAGGGAAGGAAAATAAGACGACCATGACTTAACAACACAATTTGAAAAAGTGACTCGATACCCTTAACTGTGGGTATCTTTGGCCTCTTCTCAAAGGAATACACCATTATCATACTAAAAAACCCTAAAAGAAACTTAAAAGGGCCCTCATGTTGGAGAGCAGAGTTAAGACAAAGGTTTTTCAAACCACGGATTGAAAATTCATTTCTAAGCTGAAACGGAGATTACCAAGCGATAACCTACCAATACTCTGATGACCGAACAGGTCAAAATAAGTAACAAAAAAAAAAAAAAAAAAAAAAAACACAAGCCAAGACTAACCTTAAGAACCAAAATGGACCATAGACAAGGACCATTCTCGAGACTACCCAAACCCGAAAACCAATCCATCGAAAGAGAGGATTAACACACCCCCTCAGCCCTCCGAACATCATGTAAAGCCACACGACTAAACATATGTTAACCCAAATAAAACAACAGAAGCTAAAATTCAAAAAAAAAAAAAAAAAGGGAAGCCGCTAACCATACAAACTAGCGAACTTAAAACCATAATAAAAACTAAAGCGAACCAAACCAACAAGCAAAGGCAAGAAGACAACATACAAACCAACCAAATAAAAAACAAAACAGAGATGTCCTAATGAATAAAAAATTATAGACTTATAGTGATACCGTAAAGGGAAAAAAAATCACTTCTTATTTGGTCAATTTATTTTTATCAATAACCCATAGGTCAATTTATTTTATTTGTGTGACATGGTTAAATCTTTGTTAAATTCACCTTACTTTTAGTTAAAGGTTCGAGCCAAGCCGCATTAGAAATCTTCATATTAGAATAGATTTGAAATCTTTATTTGTTAAAAAATATTTTTACTGAACTGAACTTATTTTTTACTAAACTAAATTATTTTTGCTGAAATTAAATTATTGAACAGGGCCAAAGTTTGTAAAAGAATGAGCCCTTTTCCTAAATAATGTTGGAATAACCTCTAATTCCCTAAATACAACTTTTTCATGTATTCCCACTTTATCGTTCATGTAAGCAAATAAGAAAAAACCGAATTTTTTTTTTTTTTACCAATTCAGTTGAAAACCGACCGTCACTTGAAGTAGCGGTTTCTATAAGCAAACCGCCACTTCAAGTAGTGGTTTGTAAATGGAAACCACTAAGTAGTGGTTTTTTTCAGCGGTTTTCACTCTATATTTTTGTAAGAAAAATGTATCCTTTTTGTTTGAATGAATTGGTAGAGTAAGTTTAAGTTAAACAATAAACACTGCTACTTGAGGTAGCTTTTTAAGTAAGTATAAACCGCTACTCCAAGTAGCAATTTTCCGCTAAAATTGTAAAAAAAAATAAAATTAAATCCCTCAAACCAGTGAAGTGGACAATAAAGTGGGAATATATGAAGAAAAAAAAATCTGTACTCAAGAAATTGAGTCTTTTGCTAACATTATTTAAGGAGAGGGTTTTAACAGAATGTCGAAATTCATGTAAAAAAAAAAGAATGTTGAAATTCAAATTATTGTAAATCTAAGTATAATCGTACATTACGCGGGACTTACCTCCGTAAGACCGTAACCAAAAACAAAACTTGACTCGGACCGAACCCAACACCCGATTCAACAAAAGTACAAAACCAAACCCTGGTCCCCGGAAAACTATCTTTCAAATTGGGTGTTCTCACTCTTTACAGCAGCAAACGTTCAAGAAAGGAAGGAGAGAGAGAGAAAAGGAAGAGACAATGATGAATCAAACAGGAATGCAGAAGAACACACTTTACGTAGGAGGATTAGCAGAGGAAGTTAACGAATCCATTCTTCATGCCGCATTCATCCCTTTTGGAGAAATCAAAGATGTCAAAACCCCACTTGATCAAGCTACCCAGAAACACAGATCCTTTGGTTTCGTTACTTTCTTGGAGAGAGAAGACGCTTCTGCTGCCATGGATAATATGGATGGTGCTGAGCTTTATGGTCGTGTTCTTACTGTTAATTACGCTCTTCCTGAGAAGATTAAGGGTGGTGAACAAGGATGGGCTGCTCAACCTAGTATGCTCCCTTTTTTCTCTCTTACTTTGTTCTGAAACCCTAATTTTAATCTTTATTTTTCTTTGTTTTTTTTTTTTTTTTGTGGGTTTTGTTGTTAATTGTTGAATTTATGTTGCTGTGATTTGTGGGTTTATTTTTGTTTTTACAATTTTGGGGGTTTGGTTGTTATGATTTATGTTGGTTTGTTGGGGAAGAGGGGTGATTGAAATTTGGATGAATATTGTTTCTGAGTAAGGCATTGATTTTGGTGGTTTTTTTTATTGCTTAGTATTACAATTCTTGAGGAGGGGTTGAGTTTGAATTTGTGCCAAAATTATTATGAGATAAAGAAAGGTTTGTCCTGAAATTAGTAGAGAGGGAGAGAGGGTGAGGGCTATTAATGTTGACAAATACCACGATTTCATCGGCCATGGTCAATCTGCGATCTTGTTCCAGGATGTGTTCTTGTGTTATCAGCATGAATGTGCCAAGATTATCATATCAATAGCATATGAGGTTTATGCAAATTTATGATCGTCTTTGTTTTTTTAGGTTGAAACTTGCAAACAGTTAATTATTTGGTATATTTGTAATTCACTGGCAAATAATGTGCGAGGGTTGTTCGATATGATTTGCCCAACATGTAGAACCTGTGTTGCACTGGAACAAAAACAGGAAAGCTTGGGAATACATTTTTCAGACAATGAGGACTTGTAGAATTAGATAGAGTGAAACAATAAATCAATTATTTTGCCTATGCCTAGAAGAACGGAATTCTTTGGTTTGTTATGGGCAGCAATATATAGACAAGGAAGGTATTGTAGATATTATAGGTCTATTTGAAGGTATTAGTTGATTTGAGACTTTAATAAACCAAGAAGGGAAAAATTTTGTGTTTCTATAGAAGAGGTTCTCTTGGATATCTTTCCAAGTCCAATTGCTCTGTAACGAGAAATGTGCCAGTTTCTGTGCATCATAGTGTAGCACTATCAATAAATTCTAGAGATATATATGTGAGAAAACAGCGTCACTGCTCCGAAAAGACAATGATAATCATGATTATCTGTTTATCACAAACAAGACTTGTCAGAATGCTGCCTGAGGGAGTATAATTCACCAGTTTACTGATTATTTGATAATTTCCTATTACTATATTTTAGAACTTCAGAATAGAAGTAATTAATCAAAATCAAAAGAAGACCGCACAAATCCTGCTGTCAAAATTTGGTATCTAAAACCTTTATTATGTTGGGGGGGAGTTTTAACTCAATGTTAGCAAGATCAGTTGTTTTACACAGCTCATTCTGATGTGAGAAGGGGTGGGAGGAGGAGGATTGGGGGGTGTTTTTGATGCTTTCCAATGCTATAGTCTCTTCCTCTTGTAGCATCATTACTTCTTTTATGCAGACATACTAGTTACACGTACCTAGACTTTTGTGTCAGCTGAAAATCATTTGAAGTGCTTGTTGTTTGCATTATCTTATTGCTCTATTCCTTATTGTTTTGAGAATCACATAGGCAATCAGCAGTATGACTTCTTATTCTGTTGTCTTATAATTAACCTTTGTAAACTTTGTCTGCAGTTTGGGCGGACGCTGATACATGGTTTGAGAGACAGCAGATGGAAGAAGAAATGCAACGTCTCCAGGCTGAGCACAAAGCTTCAATAGAAGCAGCTGAGGAATTGCACAGAAAGAAATTGGCCGAGGATCGAGAAGGAGAAAAAGAGGATGACCCCATGGCTAAGGCTGAAGCAGAGGTCTTACAGCAAAATCGGAGTTGATATCCGAATTTTTTTTTACTTGGAAAGAAAAATAGATGGGGAGGTGTTTGACATCATCAGACACACTTTTACTTGTGATTTTGCTTCTAGAGATTACCTAGATAGATGTATAAACAACGGCTTTAGTGATGAATGGAAGTGTTTTGCAAAGTGATTATTCTATTGCCTGGATAGATGTACAAACAACGGCTTTGGTGATGAATGTAACTGTTTTGCAGCTATAGTTTAGTAGGTGTCTGACAATCTAATGTGTACTGCACCTGTCATCTTTCTCCAGCCCCCTGCATCATGCTAGGGATTTGTATTTTCCCGGAACGATTGTGGCTAGCTTCTTTAGGGGTTGGGGGTGTTTCACCACTCCAGTTAGCTAGAATGAAAAATCTCTTGTGCATTAGGTCAATGTTGATGAATGAAAGAAGAATCTAAGGTGACAGTTGGAGCTAAGCATGGAATAAAAAGACTGCTATAAATGAAAAAAAAGGCTTTTGCAGAGAGGCCATATTGTTAATTTTAATGGAGATAAATTAATAAGGTCTCATTTCATGAATGATATGTTTTATTTAAGAAATACCCGAGCTTTCCACAGTAAGTACTATGTAAAATAGAGTAGTACAAACCACACTAGTCGAGTGGCATGAGGCGTCAAACCTGCAGTATATAACTAACCATTGCAACCCCCCAAATCAAATGGCATGAAGCATCAAGCCTATTTGTATGTGTTTATCAGCATTTATATATTTACTCAGCATCTATTTACTGTGGAGATCTTGTGTCATGGGCTCGTGGCTCAGATCTGCAGTGCCAAAGATCATGTTTTGTCAAGTATAGCATCACATAAACTACTCCTATATAACATCTATTGTAAATTAAATTAATTGACAGCATCAAGGATGTATGCCTGTATCACTGAATCATTATGAACTCTAGCAGCATTGCAGTGGTAGAAGCAATATTGATGGATCTTTTATATAGCTGCAGGGTGATTGCAGATTTAATACTCTTCTTGAAGGTCCACGATCCAGCTCATCTTTTCCATCTCTCATTTTGTTTTCTTGAGCCTAGACTAAAATTTTCGAATTCTGCCTCATATTCTGGGTAAATCTATCGTAAGAAAATAGTATTACCCCCTAGAAGAACTGCTTAATAATTAATAATGCATCAGTAACCATAGAGCTCAACTTTGAAGCAACGTGTTATTACAATTATCGCCATATTTTAAGCTGTTGGCATTTTGTATCATAGTAGGATCTCCGATTTCATACATGAAAGATATATAAGATCTCAAGGATACAACAACCTCGAAATCTGCAAATCATTATGAGCAATAGATGTTACGATATGCTTTGTATGATTTACTAAGGCCAAACAAAAGCCGATTCATCAAGATTTGTCACTGCTGACAATGGGTAAACAATTTGTTACAGCCTATTTTTTTTTTTTTTTTTTTTATAGGCACAGAGATAAAAGAGAAATATGAAAACATCTCTTTTAAGTACCTAAAAATTGTCAACTATCCCCTTTTAAGAGCATGGCATCACATAACTTGACAGCATCAAGGTTATCCCGAACATTATGTACTCTAACAATGTTTGCACTGCCCAAAACACCAGCAGAGATAGAAGCGACAGTAGCTGGATCTCTATCAGTTGCTGCAGGACGATTGCAAATCTCACCCAAAAACTTCTTTCTTGAAGGACCAATTAGTAAAGGGCTATGAGCCAAGGCCAGACTCTTCTTTGCCAACACTTGTCGTAATCTTTTCAAACCTGTAAGAAGTTCCAGATTTTGATTTGTATTCTTGGAAAATCCAATGCCTGGATCGATAATTGTCCTCCAAGCAGGAATCCCTGTTGATTCAGCATCCATAATCCTAGAGCTCAACTCTAAAGCCACTTGCTCGCAAACATCATTATATGTCAAGTTCTCAGTATTTTGCATCGAAGTAGGATCTCCTCGCATATGCATTGCAATATAAGGCACTTTAAGGCCTGCAACCACGTTGAACATCTCAGGATCCAGTCTTCCACAAGAGACATCATTCACAATGTGTGCCCCCTTCTTGACAGCTTCAAAGGCAACTTTTGAATTAAAAGTGTCCACAGATAAAATTCTTCCTTCTTCCTCAATTATCTCCTTAACAGCTTCTAAGACAGGGATTAATCTTTCTAGTTCTTCCTCAGCAGAAATCCTAGTCGCCATTGGCCTCGTGGATTGAGCCCCAATGTCAATTATATCAGCGCCTTCCGAGATCAACTGACTAACTTGAGAAACTGCATTTTTCACAGATAGAAACTTCCCTCCATCGCTAAAGCTATCAGGAGTCAAATTCAAGATTCCCATTACAGAGGTCTTCTGAGACCAATCCCACATGCGATTTCCAACAGGCAAAACTCTTTTCATTCCATCCTTCCCAATAAGGGGTTCTCCACCAAGTTTTTCCCATGCTTCAAATAGTCCACCAGAAAAATTTGATAATGAATGCCAAGAAGCAATTGTGTCATTTTCTACATCATTCCCAATTAAGTCCATTAATGGAGCCATCACAAATGGTCTTTCCCATATCCTTTCATGGGAACTATGAGATTCTCAGTGCCTACCCTAAATTTCCCGTAAAATAGCACATCCAAATCAATCGGCCTAGGGCCATATCTTATTCCATTAGTTCGACCCATATCCTTCTCAATTTTCTTCAGCATCCCTAATAGTTCTTGAGGCCCAAGTTTTGTAAAGCCTCTCACAGCGAGTTAAGAAACTTGGGTTGATCAGTCACATAGGCAGGATCTGTCTCATATAAACAACCATGTCGTGTGATGTTTATGCCTAATTTCTTCATTAGGTGCAAAGCTTGGTTGAAATTTTCTATTCTGTTTCCTATATTGCTCCCGAGTGCAATTACGACTTCATGTTCCTTGGAACAAACTTCAATAGAGGCTTCTGCTGATGAGTGAAGGAAAGCAAGAGATGAAGCTGCAAAAGCACATAGCTGCATAAGTGCATATTAACATCCATTTAATTTTGGAAATAGAAAACTTTTAATCATAGCATAAATCATAAGGGCATTCCATTATCATCCCAAAATTCACCCATATATGATCATCCTATCAGACTGCACAAATATTAAGGGGAAAACAAAAAAAGGAAAATATATGATCATTTTATCAGTGATCGCATCAAAGAGCCCTAGTGATATCCAGATCGCTGATTCAGATCTTAGCTTTTTTGTTTGGTGAAAATGTAAACAAGCATTAAATTGCATGAGCAAAAATGTAGAATTGTAGATACATTATATCTAAGACTTTTCCAACTAGTGAGCATGTAATAAATTTGGAGTCTTACTGTTTATCTGCAGTTTTAAGGATAGAAGAATTCATACAAGAACAATTTTTCTTTACCTCTATCATACTTGGAAATACCCTTCCAGGTTAATTGGGTTGATTTAAGCTTCTTAAGCACATTCAACATGACTTAAATCCCTCTGTTAAATATGCCAAGTAGAAAATTTTGATCTTAAACCATCCAATTCTTCAGTCCACTGCAATTCAAAGTTAAAATCATCAAAAGGGCTTGTCACAATTAGAGCACAATGTCATGTAATGAACAGAAATTGAACATCTCATTAGATAATAAGAGCATATACACAGAAAACAACATTTAAATTGATAGATTGAAAGAGAATTGACAGATTAAGATGCACTCAACTCAGCAAAACATATATTCTCTTCTCCATCATCATTGAATTACTTACAAAAATACTTTTAATTACGTTCTGTTGATGCTAAGCTCCTCAATAACAACATACATTGCCTTCTCAATTACCATTATACTACTTACATAAGTAATGATAAAACTTTTATTGAAGTAATGAACCTTCATTTTGTTTCACAAGTAATCATATACACCATATAAGTAACATGAAAATTACAATTATAATCAAGTTTAAACCCCCAAAAAAAAAAAAAAAAAATTAAAAACTAGAAATCATCCAACTAGAATTCTAATAAAAATTTTCCTCTACAAACTAAAATTACAAACACCCACATCTCAAAATAACTATAATAACAATCAACAAGTAAATTTACAACTAACATTAAAATATAAAGAAATTGATTTTGCAAAATTGGCTAACCTTTGAAAATGAAAGAGAAAACCTTTAAAGCGGCAAGAGAGTGCGGTGGTGTGCGGGGCTAGCCGGGGTGGTGAGGTGGTTTGGATTGGTAGAAATGGAGCTTTGGGTATTGGAGTAGAGTTGGTCAGTAAAGTATAGTACGGAGTAGTATACTACTGTAAGAGTGAAATCTGGAATGTGGAACGCTCAAACGGCTCTATGCTACCAGCTAAGGCAGCTACCATAAGCAATTGGACTTGACAACACTAATCCAATGAGCAAGGCCCAGTTTCTAACGTCGATAAACGAAAATTGTTTCAAAAAGTCTAAGCTACACCACGCCTTATAAAATAAGCATTTAGTGAAAAAATTATAAACACGTAAAAAAAATGAACATTCACTAATAAAAAATGAACATGTAAAAAAATTAAAAAAAAAAAAAAAAAAAAGTACTTAAAATGAACATGTTAAAAAAATGATCATTTATTTTATTAAAAATGAACTTGATTATCATATAATCATAAATTTGCTGGACCACGACCTTAACAATAAACTTATGAACACGTAAAAAAAATTAAACATTTAGTAATAAAAAATGACGATGGAGGATGGTACAATGGTGACGAATTGGAGACTATTAGAAGAAAAAATGTGGTAATCAATAACATAACATAATACTAAAACAGACACCAGGAATGATACGTGTCACGTCCTAGTGCTATTTTTTCCCACCAAAACCAATTTTTTTTCCTCAACTACTTATTTTAAACTATTCTTTATATATATTCATTAAATCATATAATTGGGATTTAATTTCCTAAAAAAATATTTAGGAAATTTTGCAAAATAACACCACAAACAAGCCACGATTTTTATTATAACACCACAAAAAAAAAAAAAAAAAAAAAAAAAAAAAAAAAAAAGAGTTTGATTTTACCACCACATAACGGATTCTTGGATGGAATCCGTTAGTGGGGCCTAAAAGACACATGTCAAGTGTCTATTGGTTTAAATGAATAAATTAATAAAAATAAAAATAAAACTTACCCCTAACCCAGCCAGCCCCACCACCAACACCACCTGCCCCAGCTGTTTCGGGGTTTTTTTTGTGTCCTGCGGGAGATTTACAACACCAAGACTGGACTCCCAACGCTTATACCTGCAAAACAACGGAGACTCTAGTTGGGTGGAGTTCCGCCTCCGACGATCAAGTTAGGACGTGTTCGGATGTAAAAAGTGCGGGAAAGTAAATAGGATCAGGTTCCTCTTAGGAGAGGAGTGATCATCCGGCTATC